TTGTTTAAAAAGAGCCAGCCTCACAATACAGTCGGCGGGAGTCCACAGGAATCCAGTGAAAGCTGGGGGCTGCGTCAATGACAAAAGACAGAAACAACCTCACTTTTTGTCCCTGAAACAAGGGCCGCCCAATTTCAGAGTGCTGTTGGTCTTTCACCAAAACCAAGGATACCTTCATGCATTTCAATGGGGGTATTCCTGCATAAAGAAAGAAGCACTACTGCATAGCACAGTCATCTCTCTCCTGTTGTTAAGCCTTTTCTTTATAGCTGAAACAATAGAACTCTGGTCCCTCCCCTTGGATAACAAATAAACCATTATTTTGCACGACAGAGCAACAAACAAGTGAGGAAAGTGAGAAAATTGCGAAGAGAAAACTGAGACGTAGTCTGTTTGGTAAAACATCATAATGTTTTTTCTCACTGATCTCACCTAAGCATGAACAAGCATGTATAAAAAGCCAATAAAGTGCCAAATTCAAGCCTTTCTTAACCTAACTGGTAAATTACGTTTAAGAAAATGGACAGCTGAAGAGGCAATTTCAGCCGAGATTATAAAAATTGAATATATCTCACACGCTGGCTCTAAAAGTGGGCCAAGCCAATCACCAAAGTGTAATTAAGATTCACTTGCTGCTGTTTTACTGATAATCCTGTGTGTAAAACTGTCACAGGCGAACAAAAGACCTTTTTCTCATTGAGTCATTGCCTGAGAGTGATTACTTTTGCCACACAAGTCCTTTCATTTTCTCAAGGCAAAGCCACTCATACATCTCCCAACTTGGTGAGTCCAGCTGAGAGTGAATTGCTCTCTCTGATATGTAGGAAACTCAGCATGTTCATGTGATAACTTGTATTTCTTGCACTGTTGTCTCACTGCATCTAATCTAAAGGTTTTATTTGTTCTAGTAATGAGATTCTGGAACAAATCTAAAAATATATACAGCGCTGAAACCGTTTTAGAGCACTGGCCATGAAACGACGACATCTAAAAAGTTATAATCAAGTGAATAATGAAGCTAAAACTTTAAAATTATAATTTCACTCAACATGAGTTGAAGGGGGCAAACTGCTTTTTCTTTTCAACAACTGCACACACAAACAGGAACCATAAAGAGACACTCGCTCCCTTCACAGCCCTAAAAACCAACACTGCTCCACCTGTTCAGTGTCCTGCTGGGGGTGGAAACAAGAGAGTGTGTGAGTGTGTCGGTGTGCACCACTCCAACCCACTGTGTGAGGGGTGCAGGGCACACACAAAGAAATCATTAATGCATGTCTATATTAAACTGTGTTACATCAGAATTACACTTTCACGCACTTATGTATATATTTTCACACTCTAAATTAGACAATTGCTTTGTCTAATTTCAGGTCTACTGTACGTAGTCCGCGCTTACCATACCATATGGTCCAGATGCATATGTTATAAGCATCATTTCTCTGGGGACAGGTTGATGCATCGACCTAATTTCTTGGAAACGGTAGTATCCAAAGATTTTTCTCCTCTCACAGAAGTAGAGCAGGTTAATGGTTGACTCTTATCTGATATTTTCCTAATTTTAGTTTTGCACTGAACCCTGCTCTTTGCTCTCCTTTTTTGAGCTGCATCAAAGATTATGTAACAGACAAGTTTTAATGTCATTATAACTTTTGATCATTTTTAGTTTCACCCAAAACTTCATCTTTATTTTCTATTTATTGGTAATTTAAAGCTCAAATTACAATGTCACTAGTTAATTAAGCTTGATCCTCCACATCAAGGCTATAAAGCGTTGCTGCTAGGGGCGCCGGTAGGAATCCTGCACCCCCTGATGGGAAGTGACACTGGGCTCCCCACCCTAATGCTGCTTTAATTTACAGTACGATCCTGCTTGTCTGAACGGCCCTCTCTTGTCTGAGGAGCCCATAATAGTGTCCCCCTTTTTTCCCTTCCAGCAACATCGCTCCCCCCTATGCTCACATTTCCACTTATTTCTTATTCTGATCATGGCCTGAGGAGGACATAATGCACACAATCAAGCACAGAAAAACATAATTCCCCTTACTGAACATCTTCTTTCTTATATCTTACTCATCTTGCCATTCTTGGGTGAGTAATGGCATCTATCTCACTTTCTACTCAGGGTCTCTTTGATCAAAAAAACACAAGTACACTAACTGTGCGACACTAGAAAAGATTCCACTTCACACTTCCGTGCCACACACAGTACTGAGAGTGCTACAGAGCCTTTTGAGAGACATTATGAGCTGCCATAATGGGTTAAGCATCCAGCAGATAATGAGTTGGTAGATTTCACATTTTGAAGCCATTTTAAGCATTCCTGTTCTAATAAGTGAGATGAACTATGGTTTAATAGGAGGTTTCCTTTGTGAGTTCAAGATCTTTTACAGCCCAATTCAATTCTTTAAATTCTGCATATTCTCCAATTTCCTCATGTTATTCAGATGGTCAGTATTGATTTCATAATCGCTGATTATGTTCTATCGCTAGCTAGCAAGCTGTTTGCAAAATTGGATCAACAAATAACCAAACTATTTCAGTGGAAGTATTAAAGTGATCGCACAAAGTGAAGTACAGATGCAGCATTTCTATTCAAATCCATGATTCGGCTGAGTTGCCATACTTGCTCATGACTGCATCTGAATTTTGCATGAAGGGATACAATACTTTGCAAGTCACAAAGAAATTTCTTTTCAAAGAAGAAACAACGACGAGCAGTCTTCAAACTTCAAAAGCAAACCGGCTATAAACAAGACGAGACGTGCACAAGCACACAAATACACAGTTGTACAAAATCTTACATGCAACACAAGCGTACTTTTTCCTGCGCTTTAACATCATTGCATTCATGAGACGAGTCTCGACATAACCTAGTTAAAGATGAAAGAAAGGAGAGTGAATCTATCTCAGGTGAAATTGGGTGACCCCCGAAAGAGATTAGTCCATTAGCAAAAGGGAGAGCCCCACTCGCTCGACAAGTAATACCAGCTGTGACACCGCGCGCTGTCTGTCTGTTCAGGAGGGGGTGAGGGTGGTGGTGGGGGAAGGGTGGAGACAAGGCAGTGAACAAAAAAACAGATGCATCTTTCTAGACTATTTGTTCTAAGAGTAATTCAGGGCTGTTTTTCTATCTGGTTGTGGCCCTGGCTCGGCCTTTAACGCCGAAGCCCCGGGAGCTGTTGCTTTTTCATCTCTTCAAATATAATAAACACAGAGCATGGTTTTTTTTTATTACAAGTATCGATGCAGTTTTTATTGCAAATCTCAAACTCAATAAAGCCTCTCAGTCAGATTTTGCTCATATGGAGCAAATTGACAAAGAACCACGAATATTTTTGTTTTGTAATAACTCAGGAGAAACCTTTTGAGGTTCACTTTCTCCGAGAACACAGAGTGGACAACTCTGACCATCTGTTGTGAAAGCAAGCAAACACACACACACACACACAACACACACACACACACATGTTTTGACCATCACTTCAGGCAGCACGTCTGCTAAACACACAGCAGTGTGGACGGCCATAAAGTCTAACCTCATTACCAACTCAGTGCACTCTCCTCCAGTCTCAAGCACACGGCACTGCAGCGGCACAGCAGTGTAAAAACACCTTAAAAGGGGCCATTCGTTTCCTCTCAAATAAACCACCTGAGCCTGACTGATAGGTGCTGTGTGGTGTTAATTTACAACAACAGGCGCCACTGTAGTGTGACGAGGTGGAAGGGAGTACAGTGAGATCAACCTCTCCGCCCCTTTCCTTTCCAAGGGAGTGCTCTGAGCTCCTGTGCAGCTTTGCTTAATGGCCTGGCTGAGTGATGTGAACACATGGTGCTGCTACCTGTTGGCCTGAGAGAGCAGACAACAAGGAAAACTGGAGAAAGGCGGAAACATCTTCTGCACATTAAACACCAAGCATAACTGTGTTTGCCAAAAAACATTTTTTGTCCTTGTTTAATCTTTTTTTTTTTCTTTCCAGAGAGCCACCATGGGCACAATGATCCATTTTTCAAAGCACATTTTAGAGCCACCACTTAATGCCAAGTTGCTGCATTCACGTCATACCAAAAGAACCAAATAAAACTTGGAAGCATTCTCTTACACAACCCATTACAACTGCCCACATCCAAAATGAGTCCAATCCTACGTGTAATTACTAGAGGGAGCCTGTCAAGAGTGCTCTCCCCCCCCAAAAAAAAAAAAAAACAGGCAGCCCATAATTACAATAAATCAGACAGGATGTGAACGCAGCATCATCCTGTTAACTGGAAAGAAAACACATTAAAAATGAGGCATCATGATGTCATCATGGCATGAGAACATGTGAAGGCTGGGTGATGACTACCTCCCTGCCTGCCTCTCCCATCATGTGGGGGATAAAAAAAAAAAAGGCTGGCACAATGGATAATATTTCATGTCACATAAGCAGTTTATACACATAGTAGTCACTTTTAGAGATAAGAGCAGGAATTTACAACAATAAACCATTTAGTGAGGTGGGTGAAGTTAAAATAAACTGCTCTGCCCTATTTCTGTGGACTTTTTCATACATTATAGACATTTAGACGTGGATTTATTTGATAATTTAACACAATTTCCATGTAGAAAAGTAACCACTGCATTATATGTGGTTTATAAGCTACCAGAAGCAACATTAAGATTATGATTTGGCAAGATTTGGTCATTTAAAAAAAAAAAAAAGAGGGAAATTTCTAGCATACATTCATATGCAAACCACATAAATGAGCATCCATGTTTAAATACTTCGATGACCTTCCGAGGAACAGAAACTATATAACAGCTCACTAACTTATAACTAAAAACCGCCAGCGTCCCCCAGCTCCACTTATCCCCGGAAATAAAATCGATAAGCCGGGCTGAAGTTTTGGTGGCACCTGCGTGCGACTGCTGGGACTTTCCCTCCATACCTGCGGCTACAGCGCACGGGCGCACCCCGCGTGAGCACCAGCGCTTCCCGGTTAATGAGACAATAGCTTACCTTGGCGGACGAGCACGGTGATGAGGAGGGCACACACGCAGCTGGCGGACAACAAGTGCATCCTTGCGAGTCTCTCAAGATCCTCAGTGGGCTCAGTTTGTTTTCAAAAGGGTTTGTTTAAAAACCACTTGGTTGAGTTGAGTTTGGAGGTGGGTTAAATTAAAAATGGTCCTCGCGAGCCCCTGTTGCTGGCAGTTCAGTTCAGACTTGGCTCTCCTCCCAACGTGGCATGTGCTCGAGCTCACATCAGTTCTGGTAGAACAGGTAATTGCGAGGGGCACACAGACGAGCGCGAGGGCGGGGGCTGCTGTCTGCAGCTCCGCCCCTGACAACCCCCACCTCCACCACTCCTCCTCCTCCCCCCCCCACCGCCCCCTCCTCCCTTTCCCCTCTTCCCCTCCAGCAGCACCTCCCCCCTCCTCCTCCCACACACAAGTGTATCCCCCCCTTACCCCACCCCTTTTCTTAAGAACCCCCCCCCCACACACACACACACACACACACACTCAACTCTCCCCTCATGCCCCATCCTTCTCCTCCCTCTCACCCCCTTTATGCTCATCTTCACTCCCCCCCCCCATCCCCCCCTTCTCTCTTTCTAACATGCACCCTCACTCTGCATGCACACAGAAACAGAGGGGAAACCTTAAGTCAAGCTGCTCCTCAGACTTGTTTCATGCAGAATACCCAGAGGTGGAATAAACACAACCCGATCCTTAACACGCCTTAAAGAACTTAACTGATGGAAAAGTACATGTTTGTGAGTGTTAGCAGTGAAATCTACTCAGCTAGTTATCTGAATTTTTCTCAGTTGGGTCGGCTGATCTATTACACATCAGAAAATAGTGAAAGGTGCCAATCACAGTTTCACAGATGCCCAGGTGAAATTTTCGGTCCAAAACCCTTAAAAAATATTCAGTTTACAATGATTCAAAAAATAAAAAATAAAAAGCAGCAAAATCTCCCATTTGAAAAGCTGGAACCACGTAATGTTTGTCATTTCTGATTTTAAAAATCGTTGACCACCGTCATACGGCTGCAGATTGATTTCCTGTCCATCGAATAACGGATTCATCAGCTAATCGTTTCAGCCAGGTATCAACAGAACGGCCTACATCTCGGAGTGTTTAAATATTGTGGTTGTGTGAATATTGAACCCCTCCCTTAAAAAAGAGTAAACAATTCCTCCTCAGTTCAATGTCAGTTCAATGTCAAAAATGTATGTCATCAAGATAGACAAGGCTATTTTTTGAGAGTTCCAGAAAAGTTGACATTTAGATCATTTATTTATTTATTTGTTATTTTTAACTGACAACACTGACATTTTATGAGCTTATCACATTGAGGAACCCGGGAATCTGCAAAGTAGCTTGTAACTACGTCCATCACGCCTATCACGCCTATATGCTGTGAGGTAAAAAAGTACAATGTATAAATGTGAAATGTGGAAGATGTCTGCCAAGAAAGGACTGTGGAAAGTGCCAGAAGCTCCAAATTGCTGCTGCTGCACTTGACTAAATGTACATGCAACCTCTGTGGTCTCCAAAATGCAGTCTCTCTCTCTCTCTCACACACACACACACAAACACACATACACACACACACACACACACACACACCACGCGCGCACACTTACATGTAAACACACAGACATGCACACACGCCCGAGGTATAGTTTCAATCAACCCCCGCCTTAGACTTGTTTCTCGCAGGGAAAATGACACTGTGCCTCACAGGCTGAGGACAGAAGGTCCATTGTGAAGCTGTGGAGCTATAGGATGTGGGTCCAAGGTTAATTATAAGAAATTTCCACGTAAATAATTAATCCAAGATTAATTATTAAAATCCTTGCTCACATCTCCTTACTTTTCAATTATTTCACTGCGCACATTCAAGAACACCACCACAATAATTAATATCCATATAATGACTATGCTAATAATTCGAATTAATGCGAGTGCTTTGGTAGAGAGAGATAGCTGTTACTTCTCTACACTTTCCTCATTTTTGGCTCTGTGTAATGTCAGTAGTTATCTATATTTACTTGCACGGTGTGTTGCGTTTTCAAGTCATGATGACAAATAGATTGTGGCTATAGATGAGGGCTGTTTTCTGCCAAAAAAGTACCATGCTCTAAAATGAGCGTAACAGTGACAGTTCCAGAGTCCATTTCAGAAGTTGGTAAAAATAACATCAGAGCATGTAAAATGTCATTAAAACCACACTTGCTGCAAATAAAATGATTTACCACTGTGCTGTAACTGCATGATCATGCTTGTCTGATCACAAAATGTGTGTGTCTGCGTGTGCGCACAGTGTGTGTTGGGCTAGGGGAGAAATCTATCGGGGTGAAGAAGTAAGTATTCCTCACCCTGGGTGTGAAATTCATGTAGGTCTGTGATGGTTTGTGCAAATGGAGTGAGGGCACAGGCTGTGAAAACCTAATGCAATTTGATTAGAAGTTAACCGCAAAGCAATATTTTTCCTGCCTCAGTGCGCCGAGAGAAAAAAGAACTATTTGCTTTTTTTCCGTGTGGGTGAAAGTGAATGAGACTGACTGATGACCAAGCCTGGAGCGTGGTGTTCAATTACCAAACAATAACATCTCGGTCATAATTTGGATTTCAGGTGAAGCTGGTCAAGGACTAAATATTGAAAAACACCAAACAACAAAAGCAGATAATTCATCCAACCAAAACAATCTACAGTAAACCAGTGAGCAGGCTGCTGCAACTTTATGTCATGCTTGTTCCTTTTCAGTGGAATAAACGCAGCTGTAGCTCGGGTTAATTTCGTATTCACAGGAGAACATTTTCAGTCAGTCTCCATGACTGGAGAAAGAGATTACACACAGACTAATGAATTACAATATATCATGTCAGATTGGAGGAACTGTACCAGCTCCTGCTGTCTTTTATTTGATGAAAGAATGAGCGCTCCTATTTTGACATGTTGTGAGGCATCTTGTGACACTGCTCCTGCTATGAGCATGGAAACAAACAACCTTGCGTTGCTATGGACTCGGGCAATGAAAGTACAGATTTTTGACATTCAGGGATGCTGCAGACAGGAAATCTTTTTTTTTTCTTCCTTCCCCCACAACTTCACGTAGCAGGTCGACACTAATTATCATAGGTGTGTTTGGGTATAAAAATAATTAAATCCAGCTTTATTAGAATGACAGTATGACAACGCCAGTGACTTGGGTTACAGACTGAAAAGGATACTGCTCATTTGCAGCCTTGCAGTGGTCAGTCCTCCCTTGCATTCCTTCATTTTCACCAGGTTCAAGCAGGAAATATGGCACAGGTTAATTTGGCTCCTCTCTAGGCTTTGTGAAAATGAAATTTCTCCCCTGTCCCGAGGAGGTGTCGGCCCCTTTACAACTTCTCCTGGGAAGGCAGACGAGTGATTAGTCTCCTACAGATTGGGCTTCAGTAAACTGTGTCAAGCAGCGAACACAGTGACCCTGACATTTTCAGCATGGCCAAGGGAGGGGAAGATCCACTTAATGGCCAGTCCTGTGCCAGCCCACAGCCCCACTTTGGATCGATAATTGCTTCATTAGTTAATCTGATTGAGTGTGTGAGCAGCCTGTAGTCGATGCAGAGTTACCTCTCTTTCTGTGAGGAGTCTGTGTTTTATTGATTTCATTGTTCTCTGTAGAGCCTAACTTTTCCCCCCAACTAATCCTCACATTTACACAAAGAAAAGGAGAATGGATCTCTTTGTTTGAGCTCCTCATGCCATCTATACCTCACTTCTATTAAAGCTGATCAATACAAACTGTTTCTTGATAGCAACAGTGAATCAAATCAGGAGACCAAATGACATGTCTTATGTTGCCAGGTTTGCTGTGTTCCTTCTGGCTTAAAGGAACTGTGAGCAACTGTACCAACAATATTTAGCATGCACACAATGTTACGCATATTTCTAATCCTTTTTAAATTGAGTGTGTATTACTAACTGATGTCATGCAGAAAACATAGTTTCTTCCATGCATCTTGTCATGTATGACCTTTAAAGCTGTTTTCCCTGATATTTTATGGGTAAACACTGAAAAAGTTTATATGGCGCATGTGTTAGTGAACAGTTGCCTACTTTATAAATCCACAAGTAACATTAGCTCTCATTTGAAATCATGTTTTTGGCCATCTGATTACTTGAAGTCCAAAATTAATTAATTTTAACTCTGTTTTTGTTGTCTACCAACCCCTGAGAGAAATATCTGGCTCTTCAGCTGCTCCACAATGTTCACCAGCTATCTTTGTCTTTTTGCCATTTGCTGCTGCGCAGGTAGCACCCAGTTGGTTTTTAGAGCATTTTCACTGACTGCTGCATTTTGATTTAACACTGATGACAGTGGTGAACTGAACCAAACCAGTAAAGTTTGTGGGCCAGTGGACCAAAACAATGAGCTGAAAGATGCAAAAGAAAAAAGCTCAGTAGAGCTGAGAGGAACTGCAGAATCGGGTGATAATTCTCTGTCATCATTTGATCCATTGTTTGTATAAAATTTTGACTATAGCAGCTTTATTTTTCTTACACACCAAGTGGCTAACACGTCCTAACAAGTTAAAAGTGTGAAGATGCTTTTCCGTGCTGACGGATTCTTCAGTGCTATTGGCTGGTATTGCTGTAATATAATCAGTTCTTTATCTGTCTGTCTTTCATGGCTCTTCATTATTCTGTCAAATAAATTAAACACCAGTTTGACCAGTTAAGACAATAATTATTTAGTGTGCAAAGATGTAAAGTTCTTTTGAATAACACACTAAATAAAACTGCACTATGCTGGCTGCCAGGCTTGTGATGCTTCTTCCATGACTGGTCAAGAACACCTCACTGCAGTAGCGCTTCTATCTGTTGCATATTTAACCATTGAGCTGAATTTCAGACTGGAACAATTCCTTAGCTTTAAACATGTAATTATACAGTCTTTATTTTATTATCATACTCAATGTCTTTTTTAACATGTGTGAGGTTTTTATCCTGTGTGCAGTCAGTTAATCCTGTATTGTGGAACTGTGTTGCAGCATGTCAGCGCAAATTTACCGAGACAAATTCCTTGTGAAAGCATTGTGCTGGGTGAAAGAAAGCGAATCCTACAGGCCTATGACCTGTTGGAAAAGATGCTGCAGAGAAACTGCTGCAGTTTTCATAAGTATCAGCAGAAGAGTGATGAATAAGAACTCTGAGATTCTGCTCTCTTACAGCTCATGATATATGTCTTCTCAAGAACAAATTACACACAATACATTTA